TGAAAGAGCGGCTGCCAAGATACAGCCTGCGTCCTTTATTACTGGCTTACCGGTATATTAAGAAAAACCATGTCACTTATTTTCGTCGGTCTGTCTGTTTGTTGGTCTGTCCGCTAATCCTTGGCGACGCCATAACTTGGAAAGTATTACTCGGATTTTGATGAAATTTTTATACAAGATTACCACTATGTCAAGGATGTAAAAGCTTTTTTGGAATAGATTTAGTGGGCAAAGACCGAACAAAATTGCTGAAACTTCGTTTTTGACCTTTCACAGACTCCTGGTCATTATTTGAAAATTTTGCAAGACGTATTGAATTGGGAGTTGGGATCGCAAAGGGTAAGGGCAGGTACTCAAATTTTATGGCGTTAATATATTTAAGTGCTTCTAACCCCGATAATTATGCACATCTATTAGACTTATAATATTTTCGCACAACGAAGACCCTTAGCGAAATAGCCGCTGAAGCTGGTGATTTACTCAGAACAATTCTGGCACACGGAATGGAGACTGGCGACTAATTGAATGAGCTTATTTGATTGACTTGAGCTGTTTAATTCATGTTCGTAGTTAATTTTCTTCTAAAATGGGCTAACTTTTACCAAAAAAAATATTTTAGAGCGTTGTTTGGAAGGTACTGAGTCAATCTACTTGACGCCATTCTTTTCAGCAAGTTCTCGTCAAAGTGACTGTCTCGACCAAAGGGAACCCGCATTTTTTCTTGCTGTCATAAAAGCTACACTCATAATCGTTTTAGATGACACAACTTCATTAAAAGATGTGGCTTTTAGAACCACTTATTATAATGAATAAAACTTCTAGTTTTAACTCTTGATATTTGTACTTCTGCATTCGGTTTTAAAATAGATCGTCATGTCACGTAATTAAAGACAGTATAAATAAATACTTGCTGGATATTATAAAGCGCCTGCTTGTCAGAGTGGTTAGGTTTAGAGTCTATGCTCTAATTATACGAAAGAAATATCGACGTTTCATCCCTGCGCCCTGCGCTCATGACTAGGGATTTAAAAAATTGGTGAATGTGCTAACATAATACCTTGGGGTTGCGATCGGGTATTATTTTCAATCCGGCTGGACCTTACCGGATCGACACGAATTTCGCCAGATTGAACTTATATAGGATATGGTGAAGAGGCAGAATAAAACATTTGTCCCTATTAATATTGCAAATGCGAAACTGTGTATGCATGGTCCGTTTTCATGGCTAAACCAATTTAGTGTATTTTAGCATATACACAGATGAGACCTTGGAGACTGACATGGGGTATATTTTGTTGCGAAAATACTACTTGAATTATAATACCCTATAGGGAAACTATTATCCTTTAAGTATAGGATACAAATGTTGATTCTTTGATGTAAGGTGAATGAGTACTTACAAAGAAATTTCGGAAGCTCCGCCCCTTCGGGGTTAACTCTCTTAAAGCTGAAGAACCTAGAATAATTCAAATTAGGCTAACATATGATTAGGAGTACATTTTGTCTATAACTTTGGTTGAAAAATAAAAATATTAACAAAGAATGCTAGAAATTATATCCATCAGCTGGGGAGGTTGAATATTTTTGTGCGGAACCGCAATACTTTTCAACTCAAGTTTCTAGTACATGAAATTGCGACAGGGCTGGATTAAGGGGTGCTAAGAGCAGAAATATATAAAGTATATAAAATCGGAGGGCTTCGCAGCCCGGAATTTCGAAAACTATTTGAGCTAAGAGATGTCATGCTCTTAGCTGTAGTTTATGGGCGTTTATGAGAACATTTTTTGTACCCGGTCTATACTAGTATTAAGAGAGAGCAGGTATGTATATATAAAAGCGACATTTCGAGACCTATTTGACCTATAGACACCAAATACGGTAGGGAGGTAGGTAGTTTACGGGAACGACAAGTCATATGAGACTGAGGGATTTTACAAGACAGCTAGATTTAAGTGGAATAAAGAGGCGTTTACAAAAAAGTCCTTTGTCCTTCTATTAGACTTAGAATTCGACAGGGAAGTTAATTTATAGGAAGTAGTTATTGTTTAAGAATGGACTTAGCGACTGCGCAGAATTAAGGGGATTGAAGGGTATTCGGGTCTGTTGAAATTCCTTGGAATTCGATGCTAAATACCTAAATTAGGCATTGATGAGGTCCTTTAGACTTAAAATATGAATGTACTATGTGTCATGGGTGAAAATGAGTTTAAGGACTGTCACAATTTCAAGCACAGTAAGTATTTAAATCTTCTCTTCTCTAACCACAGACTCGGTGCAATTTGCATAGAAATATTTATATTGGCAGAGCTATTGTACTGAAGAAGGTCACCGTTGTGGCCTAAATGTTTACAATTACATGTAAATTCGATTGGCCAGAAAAAATGTGTGGATTGTAGAAGTATCCCCCTATCTAATTTTAAAAGTAGCTTGAAATTGGGAAGATAAAATGCATGCATGCATGTATACTATATTTTTGCATAAAAGCGGCAGTTCGATATTTCAAGATAGAGTCTGGGCCATTATGAATTTTATAACCGTATAAGTGTGTCAGAAAACGACGGAACATTACGCTGTTTTTCGCGTCGGGCTTCTAATCAACGAAATGGTGTTTCATTTCCATTACTCACGAATGATGAAGCAGGCAGAAACGCTATCATTTGTTATGTGTCGTGTCTATACGCTGTTTTATTTGGTTATAACACAACTACCTATGGACCTCACATTATAGAATTACAGAATTCGTTGAAAATCGTCGGCTGGTTGATGACTGAACTTTTCCAAAGTTGCCTATACAGTAGCGTCTTGCCTTGTTTTACCATATATGCCTCTTTTAATAGTATAACAATGAGACTGCTGGTCTCAATTGGTTGGGCGTTAAGACACGCTGAAGTGCACGCATGGCATGATATGAAAGCGAAATGTGATCCATTTTTTGCCCCAATACTTCTTTCTTTTTGCAATTATACTTTGAGCTCCTTTGTGAATAACGGCATGATAAGCAGCATACTCCAAACCACAGTTAAAACCGAACAGATTCGTCTGGAAACTTCTACTAAAACTTTCGAGTCTATACTTGCCCCAGCAACCCTCTCTGCTGTACTCGTTATGTAATTTTAGTTGTATCTCAAAGCGGAGCCAATTTATCCTTACCAACAACTAAATCTACCTGACATTGATATTTCAAGTGTATAGCTCCTGTTGACTATATAATAACAATGATATTCTCAAAATTTTATCGTTCTTAGCTTCTGAATATTTTATTATCAAGTTGCAGAATACAGAGTTGACTGGTCTAAAATAGATAAAAACTAGCCATTACCCTGCATGGGTATCACGTATCTTGAAAAGAGACATGCCTATTTTTTGACATTATGCTGTTTTTTTGACATTATGTAGGTTTTTCTACAAGATGTCAGCTAAGCACTTAGTTGCACACGTGTTGCCTTGCCTTGCTTGTTATCAATCTTTGGTTCTGATGTGATGTAAAATCTGCTTCTGAGATGCATTACTAGGTCTAAGCTGTAAGTGGTATGTGTTGATGATAATTACATTGGGTTCTTGTCTCAAATACACTTAATTGAGATTCAAAGCTAGAAAATTAGTTGCGCAGTCACTTTTTCTTATTCATACTGGAAATTACCTAGCCAAATTTCAAAAATGAGAGAGATAAGAAATAATTATATTCACTGTACACTGTCGAATTACAAGCCATATACATGCTAACAGTAATTACACACCACGCAGGCGCGGTGATGATTTCAAGTAATTCTCCTCAGTTTTTCGTAATTTATAACTTTGAGCATAACCTCTCTTCAGAAAGCACAACATAAAAATAACCCGTCGGGAACAGCCAATAGATATACTTCATTGGCAGCACATTCAGCAAATATCACTGATTTTATATACATGCAGAACAATACACATAATCATCCAGATGCGATCTTGCTATTCAACCAACTTTCTTTTCAGAGATAAAAACTACAGACTAAGACTACTCGGCCTCATAAAACACATGCGTGTCAAAAATCTATTCTCAGTTTGTCTGCTCAAAAAACCTCATTGTCGCCAATTTTTAGGTATCTAACATCTGATTCTAAAGAATTGTAAATTGAATGAGAATTGAAAAATCCGTTCTTAACTGACATCTATTGCCTATAAATCACCTCATTGTCAAATTCCAGGTCACTAATAGAAAAAAATGGGACTTTCATACAAATTTGTGGATGCCTCCTTCCTCTTAGTCCCGCGCTGGCGCAAAATTAGTTCTTAGTGTTATTCCTAAGATAGCTATCTGCCAAATTTATGTTCAAAGGTCAAATGGTTTTTGGAATAAATTTCTATAAATTTCACTTGAAAAGTGATGAAGGTTACCGATAATCATCACCTACCCCATATTAATGGTCTGTTTTCTAGAAATCTCTGTTGATGTTCTTTATTTTCAAGGCAAAGTTATAGGCAAGACGTACTTATTTCTCGACTGGCTTAATTTGAAAAATTCTAAGTTCTTCAGCACCCAAAGTGTCAACCCCTACTTCACCTCCTTAGGAGTGGAAATTGTCAAAACTTCCCTTATAAGTCCTCATTTGCATTATATAAAACAACCATAAAGAAACTCGATTTGTGTCCCGAACTTAAAAAATAATATTTTTTCAACTTAACTCTGACTGACTCCCTGTTTTAGCGCCTGCAAGTTTTATTTCATGTCCGTTTCTATGTTAAAAATCATCATCATATACACACTTTCGCATTTATAATATTAGTAGATATATATGATTTTTCTTGATTAATTGATGTGCAGGTATAGCGAATAAAATATTTATGACTACCAGTTTAAAATAATCTCTCATCCAAATGATATATGAAACTATTTTGCGCAGAATAAAAAATGATTGTCTCATGAATATATTAATTAGGAATGAGAATTATTAAAACCATTATTACGTAGATGACAGAAAAGTAATAAAAGCGATACTCTTATATTGGTAGCGCTTTGACCATTTTTGGCAGTTTGCGTTTTCACCTCGCAGGTTGTTGATTGTAATAATTCGTTTTTCTGTTGTTTCAGATAGAACAAAATGGCTGTAATAGTAGACTTAATGCAAACTGTAAATAACTTCTTGAACAAACACCAAGGTAAGTAATTTTATTATATGTTTCATTAAACTATATTAGTCAAAAAATCTGATAAGAAACTTTACGGTGCTCTTATTTCATAATTTGCGGATCCTCCTGACAGAATCCATTTATTGTTTAGAGATGTAGATAAACGTTTTTAATTTTTTTTGTTTGAAATATTTTTTTAATACCTGCATCCAGAACAGGGAGGAATAATCAAAGTTAGTCAATTGGTTTGCTTTGATTTCGTTCGACATTCAGAATACTTTAAATTTTTATATTCTTATGAAAGTAATTTTGTTTATACTGTTGATTTGCTATTCTTGTAATATATATCTTTTAAAATGGAATTCTACACATGGATTATATGTATTAATATTCTCGTGGTACAGACCGAAGAGCTATCATTACTTTAGGAATACATTTATAGACATTACTTGAGGCATGAGTGCCACAGTAGGCTGTAACATTTGTCATCACAGGTTTTAAAAATTTGGAAAAATTGAAGTTTGCACGATTTTCAACATTTTGAAATCAAAAAAACGTTCAACTTTTTCAAAATTTCCAAATTTTCAAAATCTTCAACTTTTCATAATCTCTCACTACTTTCACTATTTTGAACGTGTTGGTATGAATATTCTGAAAATGGTAAAAATCATGCAAAATTTGAAAATTTTCCAAAGGATCAGGGCCTATAAGCGGAGTTTTCGGCCGCTTCAAATGTATTTTTAACTTCGTCAACATTTCTTTTATTTTAGTTCTTGATTTCTTTTTTAAAGCCCAAGGTTCGCAATTTTGTCATTTTTGTCCAAAATTCACTCATTTTCTGATATTTAACTCGGTAACTATATGAGTGACATTTCTGCCTCTAAATCTGTAATAAAACACACTGACACTCAAAAATAATTATACAGCTTGTAAGATGGGTCCTTAACTCATATATGAAATCAAGAAATTCGTCATAAATCACTTGGTTTAGCTACAAAAAACTATTTTTCCATTTGCGGCCGAACACCAAATTAGCGACCATGCTCATGAAATACACCAATGAAAAAGAAACATTTGTGCCGTAGCCATAGCATGGGCACAAATTTGATACAATATATAGAGTGATATGACAGCAATTAAATGAGCATTTTATTGAAAATAACAGTGTCTTACTGTTGCTGTACAAAATTCTGCTTGATGAATTCTTTGGAGACATGAATAAAATTACAGAATGCTTATTCTGTAACAAACTTACTGGACTACTGAACGAAAAATCCTATTCCTTAAGCCAGCTCTGTCAACATTTTTCGGGTAGGCCATAAATCCTTCTTGATTCTTCGAATTTGTGACTACATGCAAACCCTTCTTTTTGATTGGTGGAATTTCATCAACTTTGGTGTCCTGACGATATAAAAACCGGACTTTGAGTTATAAGCGTAGATTCTTATAATCACCATGCCATATTTTAATGCCCCAGGCATAAAAAGAATACAAGTATGTCTTCTAACAATATTTTTTAATTTCAGATCAAAGGACCGCAAACTGGTTCTTAATGTCAAGTCCTTTTTATACGTTAGGAGTATGTTTATTATACGTAATATTTGTAAAGGTAAGAAGCACTCTTATATCGCTTATATCAAATTACTGCAAATAAAAAAAAAGCCTGAAAAAATTATTATGAACCTAATTCTCAAAACTTTAAAACTTCTAGTAACGTCGTGTCACATGTCATCTATGAATGCTTCAACTGATGCATCTGTACGTTTTATAAGCAGCTCACCGTCGTCGTCTTTCCGAAAGAGCTTTGAACTTGTGCTTACATTTTTAAATTAATACAACATATTCTGGAAGTGACATCCGAAATTTATCCTGTGGATTTCGTGATAAATTTTCGTTTTACTCTCCGCTAAATGAAACTACATATATGTTGAATGTTTAATACGTTCTATCAGATAAATATAAAATATACGAGGGTAAATCAAACATGAACCGGACTTTTGTTTTAGAAATTTCATTAGTTTCAACACCTTCGTCGTCATCAAACTGGTGACCTCCCAGGCCTTCTTCAAGTGGTCCAAACATGGCGATAAATTGGGACTATAAGGCGGGTGTTCAAGTATTTCCCAATAAGTTTCGCGTAGTTTTTCTTGGGTCAATGCAGCTGTGTGTGGCCGAGTCTTGTCATGGCACATCGAATAGGCATGTCTCGACTTTTTTGCAGATAGGCCAGTTTCGATTCTTTAAGCAACTGACAGTAGTAAGCAGCATTAACTGTACGGCGATCGTCAAGAAAATCAACTAGCAGTTCACCTCTGGAATCCCGAAATACCGTTGCAAGAACTTTTCCTGCAGAAAGAATGATGTTGGCTTTTCGCGGTGCTGCCTATCCAGGCTTCCGCCACTTCATGGAAAATTTTTGATCGCCGAACTGGGCTGTTAATCGATGCAATGTTCGGAAGGTTTTACGCCCTCCCGCGACAAAAATTTTATGATAATACTTGTACACCTCTTGCTTAGACATGGTACTACTAACAGCTCTTCTACTTCATCGCGCCAAACCGACTGACTCCCCTCTTCTTGACATCCCCACCCAACGTATACCAACACGTCGCCCCACTCCGTTCATCTATGGCGCGTTAAACAGAAAAGTCCGGTTCATATTTGATTCACCCTCGTATTATCACTGCCATACTTTGATTTGCTCAAAAAACATCGAGATTTGTATTTTGGAAGGGTCAATATTGACTGCCCCATCCATTACGTAAGAAGTTTTGGAAGGAAATGTTCAACAGTATAATGTTTATTCTGTACGAGGCGTTAAACGTACTAAAAAATAGCTCGTAACTTAGTTTTCTTTATGCTGCATTACGATTCACAGTAACATTAATATTGTTTTTTCAGATAATAGGACCAAAGTTAATGGAAAATAGGAAACCATTCAAATTGCAAAATACGCTTGTATATTACAACCTGTTCCAGGTATTATTCAGTACATGGTTGTTTTATGAGGTAAGTTCCAACATGAATGATCAACTCCATCTACTACTGTTTAATATAATGTTTTGCCTCCGGGCCTCAATTTATACGAGCATGTATTTGCTAATATTCATTCCATGTTTTTAGTCTGGTGGATATTTTTGTTCAGTATGAAGATTTTTCTTGCACAGGTGCAATAAGTAAAACATTGTCAGCAGTTATCGGTGTTTTCACCTGTTTGTGTAGACCATTCCAGCTATCCGATGGTCCATTTCCACACGACTAGATCTATTCCCTTAACTCCGCGTAACACATGATCTGCGTCATCGAATGCACTGAAACTCGCCCAGCTACGAGCTGCCAGAATACATCCGCTGCCCTCTGGCCTCGGCTGCACCTTTCTAGAGATAAACAATTCAAAGGTGAGGTGTTCAAGAGACGGTTGTGAAAGTTTACCTTTGCGAGACAATTCGATATTACCTTGCAATCAAGTTATAGTTTCCGTTGCACTATGCGCAAGTCTGAAGCAAAACCGGATAGCACACCGTTGCTCTAAATTGATATCACCCATTTTCAGACTACAATACAAACAAAAATGCTTCGGACAACCAAATGACTCGAGCGAGTTCAAACTTGTACTGAAGGCGTATCACATGTCCCGCTGTCGAACCTACAAGCCCAGTGCCTCCAGTGTTACCTGGTCGCATGCTACGTTGCGGGTCTCATTACTTAATTTACATACCTCGTAGGTGTAGCAGTTCAAAAGGCGGGTTTACACGCGACGTATTATTGTACGTTTTGAGTGACAGGACAAATCCTATCTAATAAAACGTAGTGTGTAAACAGAAAACGTACGTCAGATTGAAAAACTGATGGGAGAAGCATCATTTTGCGAGAACTGATAGGACAGCTTCACTTCAGTTCGCTTCCCTTTTCCCCCCCAAAAAAAAAAAAAAATAATCAAATGTCAGATTTGCGGCATAGCACCCATGGTTTTCTCAGGGAATTCATTGAAATGTATAAGTTTTCTGTGTTTGTGGCAAGTGAGAAATAAAGACTAGAGTGACCGTAATAAAAAAAATGTCGCGTATGAGGATCTTATAAAGAATGCAAAGAAATAGACCCCGATGGCAAATAAAGAGGCTGTTACAAAAAAAAAACTCGTTAAGATTGGTTTACAAAAAAGAGTTGAAAAAAGTGAGGACATCAGAAATCTCTGTTACTAACTCAAAAGCCGGGTTTACACGGGTCAAGTAAACGGTCAAGTTGAGCAGTGAAGTCAAGTATTTTTTTCTACTTGCATCGTCTAAACGACTTCGGCCAAGTAAAGTAACGACTTGCCTCAAGTGACGCGGCAAGTCAAGTGGTTCTGCACGGTGAACAAGTAACTTTACTTGACTGCTACCCCCACCTCACTGGATCGCCAACTTGACCGTCTACTTTACCAATGTAAACAGAAAATGCAAGAGTAAATAAGTTTTTGCGTATGGATTGTGGATTTGCACTCACAGATAAGCAAATAATTTCGGTGATTTTGGTATATTACAAATTGTGAATTAAGGTTGAATTTATACAAGATGAAGTGGCCACAAGAAGAAACCATGAATTTTGTTGAAGGGAAAAAGAGTGTTTATGGAAGAAGAGTAGTGTAAATTATCGCAATAAAAACATGCGAAAAGCAGCGGAAGGGGACATCGTGAACAGGATGGAAAAGGAAGGTTTTGGGGTGGCAGAATTAAAACAAAAAATTAAGATAATGGGAACAACCTATATAATCAGGAAGCGTTGAAAAAGCGTTTAAAAAGTCTGGGAAATCAGGAGGTAAACCGGATGATATATACGTTCCAACTGTCAAGTGGTTCCGAAAAATGGAAGAAATAATGGATAGCTACACAGCTGAAAATGAAACGAAAAGCATAGTAAGTCAAAAGTGTATTTTTGTAATAACTGGTAACTAATTTATAAAATTTCGTTGCGAAGGCACTGCTCCTTCAGAAATAGTATAATCCCTCATTTTGTTTGGCATTTGTTTTGCTATCTCTGACGCCCCTGTATGTTTCTCAGTTCTCGTATCTCTTGTCTCCACTGTCCAGGTATTATTCCGCCAGTGTGTTGGTTTTGACAATCAACCAATTGTGCATTATTGAAGTATTGATCTGGTGACGTTTTTCGTAGCCTGTTTTGAATTACAATTCCAGCACTAACCAGTTTATTCACATAGGAAACTTTTATCTTTATTTTTGTTTCAAAAACACGAAATCTACTTGCTAAGATTCCAAAACCATTTTCCACTATTCTTCTGGCAAGACTAAGCCGATAAATGAAAATCTTTTCTTCATCGGTAAGAGGTAGTGGGTATCTACTATATGGTTTAAATAGATAGAGTTTTAGTGGAAAAGCATCATCACCAACTAAAAAGTAACCATCGGGTTCTTCTAGAGCTCCTGAAATTTCGCTGTTTTGAAAAATTCTACCATCTGAGTTAGATCCCTTTGTCCCTACTTTAAAATAAGAAAAACAGTAACTGCGACCTACAATTGCCATTAGTACCACGCTGAAGGAGCCTTTGTAGTTGAAGTATTCACTTCCAGTATGTGGGGGAGTCTCGATCAAGACATGTTTGCCATCAATGGCACCACAACAGAAAGGAAAATTGCATCTTGCTTCAAACCCATTCGCAACTTTTTTCCATGCATCATGTGTATCAAAAACCTGAAAAAATAAACAAAAAATAAAAATTAATCATTAAGCAAATGAGAAATCTTAAATTAGTATTTTATTCATTTTACGAAACACAAATCGTTCCACCTAGCGGAAATGAACAAGGTCTGCTAGAGGAACAAGTCATTGAAGAACCGCCTCCAAATCTCTCGCAGACTCCTACAAGATCTTCGACCAGCAAAACATGCTCCCGAGTAGAATCGACTGGTAAACAGGTTGTCGAGAAGAACCAGGATCAAAAAATAAAAAAGCACGGATAGAAGCACTAGCCGCAGCTGTTGCAGAGGTCCGAAAAGTTCAGGAAACAATAACTTCTGAGTCCATTAGTGACCATGAAGGTTCTGGCAAGTTCATTACAGCCAGTTTAAATAAACTGCCCCCTGCTGATTCAATCACGGCGCAAGGTGAAATTCAAAGAGTAATAAAAAAATATCGATTGAGTGCGTTAAATAAGAGCAGTTCTGCTTCTGAGGCTTCCGCATTAACTGAAATTCAATCACCAACCCTTTCTTGGGATTCACCTCCTGCAACTACTCCTGAATACAGCACTAATTACCCGGTCATGAACGAGGACACAGTTGCAAATGATGATGCTGCTATCGGCGATACTATCTCGCAAGCATGGAACTTGACAAACTAAATGTTACAATTGAATTTGTTTGTTTTTTTATTAAGAAGCCTAAATCAAATTTTAAAAATGTTCTATTATTATTTATTCACATACCTTCACGAAATCCTTTAAGCAGTCATACACAGTTTCACAAACAATGGGCATCATGATAGATATCGCTGATTTAGAAACTCGGGAGAGATGAGAAAGGGTTCTGTAATTATTACCAGTTGCTAGGTAATTTAAGGTTACTTCCAACATTATTTCTGGTTTGATAGCGTCTATTAGATCGTGTCATCTCGTTGGATTAATGGATTTATTTAGCCTAACAAATAGTCAAATGTTTCAGCAGTCATTCTTAGCATCATTCTGTATTATTTAGGATCTTCAAATCTCAGCTCCCTTATTAAATTGGTGGAAGCTCCTTGACTTTCTTTCCGTGTAAACCATTCTCGACACCATATCCTTTTTTCAGGATTTCACTCTTCCTCCAAAACTTCTTCCAGTTCTTGCAGGAGAATATTTGTGAGATTAATGACACAATTTCATATGACAATACGACTTTCCATCATGTTTTTAACTGCCGACTTGCACATTTACTGGACTACGTGGAAACGCGATTTTTGGATTAAGTTGTGAATCAAGTAAAGTAGAATGCAAGCACGCAAGTGCGAAGGCAAGTAACTTGACCGTTTACTTGACCCGTGTAAACCCGGCTTAACAACTGACAATAGGCTAAGGTGTCCATTCGCAAATAATTGCAACAGTCATCAAGTTCGCTCCTCAGTCGTTTCAATAACGAGACGTGGGAATACTGTCTTCTTTTCAGAAGCCACTCCCTTGACCATCTTGTCTTTTCCCTCTTCATCCCTTTTCCTCTCAGTCGTTGTATCCTTATAATTGAAAAAATAAAAGAACAAAAAATGTCTCTCAAAAAATTTGTGCGTGTAAACCCGCCTTAATACCAACTGAATCAGCAAAAAACCCGGGCCGCAAAAAAGGTGTGAAATCAGGTATAGAGCAGAGCATAAGAACTACCGAATCTCCTATCATGGGCGTACATAAGAAATGTTACATAGGACCATTTGTATTTCGACGGCGACTGTAGTCATCATTATCAGCACCGGAATTAGTGGTGTGCTAACGCGTTAAGTATTGCGAATTTTGACATGTGTAAAACCGTGCATGAAAAATTACGTTTTGGAGAACAATTGAGTCAGAGGTGTAGGATATTTGGAACCGTCATTTGACAATTGATTATAATAGAAACATCTTCATATTAAGTGTCAACGTTATTGTTTCAGGTATACAGTGCTTTTCAAAAAATCCCTCCATCTATTTATTTTTTAAATACGTAAAATTATCAACCCGAAATCAGGGCGATGAAATTGTTGCATGAATGCTATTTTCAAGCGTAAATGTCATAGTTGAAAACTTCAAGATGGTGGCAGTCGATCGTCTTCGAACATTTGTTTAAATGAGTACTTCATAACCCTAAGATGCAGAGTCATTATATTTCAAAACGACGCATTGGTTCTTCATTGCATCGCTTGTTATTCAAAAATCAATTATCAAAACGCTATATTACCTATGTTACCAATCTTCTGCTTATAAAAGGGCATAGGGAATGTGCAATAAACTATGAAAGATTCCATTCCCTCTGGACTTTCTTTACTGAATATTCCATATTTTATTGAATACC